ATTTACGTGTACAGAGCCAGGCTTCAGTCCCTGCAGGCGATATTTAACAGGGCGGTTGTTGTCAAATGTAATTGCCAGACCACAGAAACCAAGAATCACGATGCCTGTAGTTCCACTGCTGCAGCCTTTCAAATCCTTGTGTAACCCGCTGGTGACCCGTGTGGTGCCTCCTTGTAAGGGCTGGTCCATAGAGTAACAATGTGCTTTGTCTCTCATCAGCTGATCTGTAGCTGGCCTGGTAGAGGGCTGGGCTGTGGCTCTGGCTCTGGTTTGAAACCTGCTGATGACACTTGAGGTGATCAAATATACACTGCAGTAACCATTGGGCTGATTGTATATTGCATAATAGTGTATTTAGAAGTGAATTGGGATGTTGTGTTAATATTGGCTCTGTTACTTCTGTAGTGTTTGCATTTTGGTTAATTGGAGCAGGCCCTTCATTAAGTGGGAGTGGCAGGTTTTTGAGAGTGGTATGTGGGAGACTGCCTGTGTGTGCAGAGTGGCAGACCCTGCCTGTAAACTCCAGAAAGGACAGAACTTGATTTAATAAACATCTTTCCAGAAAATAAGCCACGTAACTAAAGGTGCAACATTAGAGCTTAGTGGGGTGGGCTGACTGCCTCAGAGCATTGGTAATGAGCTGTAGAGCCTTCACCTGTAGGTGTCGTTTGACTCCTGAGTAGCTCAGCAAGTGTGAAAAGTTCCCATCCAATGGATGTTTATTGTATAGATAAGATGGGAGGGGGGTTACAGACACAGCGTTATGCTTTGCACTAGTTTGCAGGCTCTTCGGGGCCAGGCCTGTCTCTTGCTATGGTTGTACAGCTCCTTGCACAATGGGGCCCTGAGCTCAGTTGGGTTCTTTAGTGACAGTTCTTTCAGCAGGGCCCAGAACTGCATTACTCACTCTAAACCTGTCAGCACGGATTGTGGCACACTGAGTGAGGGAGGAGGGGACATTAAATCAAGACAGACCAAAAATCCTGACAGTCTTTTATTAAATCTCATGATTTTGGGGATCTGACTTGCGATTCTTTGGGTTGGCAGTCCTGGGGAGCATAGCAAGGGTCTGTACAGGAGGATGGATGCAGAGGGAGACCATGTTTCTGCCCTAGGCTTTGCTGAAACTTGTGAGGATTTTGTTATGCACCACAGATGCTGAGGCTGCACCTGCCGGACCCCCCTGTGGATAGCGAGGAGGAGGACGAGGAGGACGGAGCTGCAGCTCAGAGCAGCCGAAGTTCCATCCCCATGGATCCAGGTAAGAGAATCCCCTTCCCTCTATTCTAGACTGAAGTGGCATTTGTTGGGGATAGAGAAAGAGGCAGCTCTCTCATGCTGGGCGTTGTATCAGCACCAGTACCTGGCTGCTTGGAGGTGGAGCAGAGCTCCCCGAGCCTGGCTGTTTGAAGGCTTTGGGCCGGGGCGCTATCTCTAGCAGCAGCAGCTGCTGGTCTCATGCTCTGACTTTGTTTGGCTCTAGCACACGTGGAGTTGGTGAAAAGGACGATGGCTGGCGTGAAGCTCCCTACCCTGGGGATCCCTGCATGGGCCAGCGAGATCTCGGATGATCAGTGGACGGCTATGGTGCAGCGAACGCTGCAGGCCAGGCAGAGTCTCAGCACCTCTAGGCCGGAATGGAAATGAAGTGCAGAGCCAGGGTCAGGTCCCTATCAAGAGAGCTGAGTACAAAGTGCTACCCTGTGCACTTTAACCTGGGGTTATGTATGGGAGGCAGACCACCACCATCCTTCTCTGGACGGGTCAACGACCTCCCCCGGCGCTGAAGCGCTAAGATGCTCAGTTTGTCTCCCACTGAGGAAATCTGTTTCCTTGTCTCTTCCTTTCCCACTCCCGGCCATTGAATAGTTTGTCAGTTATTGTGGTGTCCTCATGCTAGCCCAGTAGTAGTTCTCTGCCCCCAAGGAACTGGACTGCCTTCGTAACCTCCCAGGGCAGAGCGTTATTGTCTCTAGCCAGGTCTGTCTGTGAGGAACAACAGATCTGCACTAGGTGCCCGTGGATCACAGTGAGGGAAAGGGTATTTCCCTCCTCACCCATGCATGTGCTGCCCAGGGCAAACAGCTGTGCTATACCATGTCACAGGAGGTCGAGTCCAGCGTGTTGTCTTTTCAAGAGATCCATTTTATTTAGTTCTGTACATACAGGGACATCTGTACAAAATCCAACACTTTCATACTATAATGCTCTACTGAAAATAAAGTACACCATATGTACATATGACCTGTAAGCAGTTTAATACTTGTGTCCAGGGGGTGACTGCATTGTTTAGTTTTGCTTTTCCCTCATGAGGGGAGGGGCTATGTGAGAAGTGGCAGAGGCAGCTCCAACTCTGTCTGTGCGAGTGGGGAGGGCACAGGCAGAATACTAGGAAATAAATGTTGTACAAAAGACAAGGGCCTGGCAGACAGTTACCAAGGGCCGTGTCCTGGCTGTAATTCTGTCGGATGATAGTTCTGCAGAGGTGCTGCATGCACTCACCCCTTTCTCACACTGCCCCACCTTACATATATAGGACATGGGAATGAATAGGCAGCAAACAAAATTTAATGTTAAAGTACTGAACACAAACTTCCCTGCCCCCAAGAAGATTAAGCAGAGGGCTGTGTATTCGTCTAAGTCATCCAGCACACAATGCTCCGTTCCTGTGCTGCAGGTACAACCCACCCAGGCAGTGGTGCTGTCCTGGTTAGACATGGAAAGTTTCACTGCTGCTCACTTCAGGACAGGCACCAGAGCCCACCCCCAGGAAAATCCTAGCCTGAAATGCAGTTACAGCCTCCATCTCTTCTACAGCCAAACCACTTCTTTACAGCGTTCAAGCCATCTACTCCCGCTGCACTCTCCAGTGGGGCAGTGCCTGCTCCCTGGAACCTTCTGGAGCAATTCAGGGGTGGGCTGACAGGCAGCTTGCTAATGTGTGTTACAACCAAGGCCAAGCCGCCTTCTTAGTTCTTCCCCTTCCATTCCCTCAGCCCAATGCCCCTTTCTGCTCCACCAGTGTCATAAAGGGCTCAGCCACCCATCCCCACAGACTCTTGCCTACCTTCCTTGCCCCTACTCCAGTATAACAGCTGCTACGTAGCCAGTGGAGGTGCTGGGCCAGGTATGTGGTAAGTGTTAGCACCTGGCTCCATGCTAACACTCAAAGTAAGCAGTAACCTCCCCAATCTGATTCATGGATCCAGAAGAGACTTGAAGTAGCCCCCAGTGTGAAGCAGACAGGAGAGGCTGTTCTGTTCGGGGCTGGGAGAGAAGAGAGAAAGATCTCCAAAGGATTAAAGAACGTACTATGTAAATTACCATCCCCTCCACCTCTTCTGGGGGAAGACGGGCACATCTAGCATGAGGGAATTCAAAAGAATGTGAATGAGCCAGGGTGTGGAAGGAATGACTCAGGAGAAAGCTAAATAGGGCGAGGGGGAGAGGAGATACCTGTGAAGGGTTTAAACGAGAGGAATTTAACATGAGTTAGAGGTGGGAATGACGTAGGAGCAGTGGGGTGAAGTTAAGGAAGGAAAATCAGGCTGAAGGTCAGGAGTGAGAAGTAGGAGGCTAGAGCACTGTCTCCCAAGGGGAACCCTAGCAGACAGACACCCCAGAGCTGGAGCAGGGAATACCCTTAGACAGGCAGAGCAGACATGATACTCGGGTTTTTCCATTTGGAAATGCAGTTAGGGCTTGAGTGGGTTGGCCGGTGCTGTCAATCTGTTATGAGTGAGGCCAGTATTTGTTTAAAGGTTCAGCGAACCCACTCCCGCCCTTTAAAAACTAGCCTCCCCACGGTGACAATGGGGAGAGCTGGGATACAAAATCGAGTGCTCAGGAGAGAACCACCAAAACACTGCAGCACCCCGGCCAATAGCACCCATAGATTACCTGCCAGGGTGAAGATTACCTCCCTGGGCTATTGGCAAATACATTCCTAAGGATGAAATAGCATAACTAGTCCCTTCTATGCTACAAGAGAACGAACAGCTGCACAACAGACGAGAACTATCCTCCTACGTGGCCAGCGTAAGGTGAGCCTTGATCAACACCTGCAGCAGCTACAGATTCCAAAATGCAGAGCAACAGAATGCTTCCAAACGTAAAGTGGCCCAAGACACGCCTATCACTTTACTGCCGGCGGCTCACAGGAGCGAGGCTACCAGCACAAGCTTCCTGGACCCGACGGCTGGCGTAGCGATGGAGCAGCGGATGCCCCCGGGATATGGCAACGAACCGAGGCTAGCACAACTTGGGGTTGAGTATGCAGACACATCACAGAGCAGGGACACATTGGTCACGTGCTCCTGGAATAGCATGTTAAATTCGGGCACTTCATTACTGGAAATACAGTGACAAGTTTGAGGGAACTTAAGACGGGAGCAACACTGGTTGGAGGAAGTGACAATCTTTCCTCATTAGAGTTTGGCCAATAAAAACCTTTGGGGGGTGGGGGAATCATGCTAACCAAAGAAGGGAGAAGGTAATTATTTGGGGGGGTACAAAGGAATATGAGTAATAAGGTGCTTACATTCAGAGAGTGCAGAGCACTTCACCCAGAAAAGGATTAGCCCACCTTATGGTGGGGGTGGGAGGAGGGGGAGAGAACAGACTGGGGAGATTCAGTTAAGTAAAGGAAAAGTTAAGGTACATATCTGTTCTTGCCAAGCCAGATTATTAACCGGTGGAATCACCTCCCATCGAGGACAGTTACAATGCGACTGGAAAAGGCCCTTGAGAATTCACTGTAGTGAACAAACCTGCCCTGTCGATGGACTTGATTCAACCAACCGAGCCTCTCTCCGCTGTCATGGCTACGGGTCTCTGATGCACAGATGGAGCAGGGGTGGGTGTGGAGGATGGTCCGTGCACAGGGCCTTGGGCTGTGTGCAGAACCATGTGATGTAGTCTCTGGCTGAGGAATCCCACCCAGACACTGAGCATTTGGGGGAGGCTTTGGTCCTGCGTCAGTAAGTAGTAGGGAATGGAATGACTCCTGCCTGGAATGATGCGAAAATGGACTGGCTGGGCTCCCTTTGCAAACGCGCACACAAAACAGCGTTAAAGGAAAAAGCAGGAGGATGTGACAATGCAATGAGATACGAGGTACAATGTAAAACCAAATCTACCCTGAAAGAATGAGAATGGCGTGGACAGGCACAGCTCACCATGTTCATTCCCTAGTTATACATTAGAACCAAGTGCATTTCTGGGTACCCCTGGGGGGGGGGGAAATGGGGGCCAGGCCTCCCAGGGCAGCTCCCTAGCCCGTCAGAGCGCCTCTTGGCTTGAGGTGAGGAATTCTTCTGCTCTCTTGTGGGCCTCCAGGGCTTTTATAGTGTAGACATCCTGAGGAAGCTCAGATTTCCGACGCAGCAAAACCTTCTCCTTCTTGATGTCTTTCAGCATCTAGAGACAAAGCCCACGGTCAGCGCTCAGCTTCAGGAGCTGAACTAACCTCCCACCCAGTGAGAGTCCCAGGCCCTTCACTCTCACCCAGATCAACTTTGAGCTTCTCCCCTTTCCCCGGCCCAGAGGGAACAGAGGGGGCTCTTGCTCATGTGCCCCTTGCTCTCCCTGTGAGAAGAGACAATGGTGAGCAGTAACAGCAAGGCTCCACCCAGCTGCATATGATTAAGGAAGCCCTGCTTGCTGGGGAGGGATTCTGCCTACTACCCAGAGCCACATGCGGCTCTACCAAATTCATGGTCCATTTCACGGTCACAGGATATTGAAAATTATACATTTCATTCATTCATATTTAAATGTGAAATTTCACGGTGTTGTAATTGTAGGGTCCTGACCCAAAAAGGAGATGTGGGGGGTCGCAAGGTTATTGTACGGGGGGTTCACAGTACTGCTACCCTTACTTCAGTGCGGCTGCTGGCGGTGGCGCTGCCTTCAGAGCTGGGCAGCTGGAGAGCGGCGGCTGCTGGCCGGAAGCCAGCTATGAATGCAGAGCTGTCGCCAGCAGCAGCGTAGAGAGAAGGATGGCCTGGTAAGGTATTGCCACCCTTCTGCGCTGCTGTCTGCAGAGCTGGGCCCTCAGTCAGCAGCTGCCACTCTCCGGCCGCCCCGCTCTGAAAGCAGCAGCGCAGAAGTCAGGATGGCCTGGTATGGAATTGCCACCCTGACTTCTGCGCTGCTGCTGGCAGGGCGCTGCCTTCAGAGCTGGGTGCCCGGCCAACACCCGCTGCTCTCCGGTCGCCCAGCTCTGAAGGCAGCACAGAAGTAAGGTTGGCAATACTACGACCCCCCTAAAATAATTTTGTGACCCCCTGCAACTCCCTTTTGGGTCAGGACCCCCAATTTGAGAAACGCTGGTCTGCCCTGTGAAATCTGCATAGTATCGGGTAAAAGCCCACATAACACCAGATTTCATGGTCCGTGACGCGTTTTTCATGGGTGTGAATTTGGTAGGGCCCTAACTATAGACACATTCCTGGGCTCACATGTGACCTCAGCACGACTCAGAGGAGCTGGACGTTCATACGGAGTGCAAGACTATGCAGAAGTAGAACAGCCAATGCTACATGTCTGAGGGGCGATAAATCCTCCTCCTTCAGGGTTTAAGAATCTCTAACTCTCTCACCGCTTCCTACTGTGGAGTTTTTAACATTTCCTCTGAAGCATCTGGTGCTGGCCCCTGGATACTGGACTAGATGGACTCAGCTCTGATCCAGTCTGGCAATATCTCTGTTCAAATGGAGCCACCTATGGTGGAGGGACCTCCTCTGAGGAACTCTGCCCAGGGTGCTGGACCCTGACTCACCTGCACAGCCTCTGTCTCCACCGTTTTCTTCAGTAGCTGAATGTCCTCTGCAGTTGGGGTCTCTGTCTCCATGCAGTAAACCGGAGGCAAGGGTGGGGGAGCGTAATACATGGGGTACTGCAGACAATCCGAACAATCAGGGAGGTTAGTTCAGCACGCAGGCACACTGCACGCCAGCACCAGAATCCCTCCTCTACCCCCATGTCTGACAGGGCCCCCGGGGAATTTCACATGCTCCCAAAGCACCCTCTACACCTCAAGCCAGCACAGAGGGGTTAGACAGTATTCCTCAGCCAGGGAGACTCCTGCCCTTCGCTGTTCCCACTCTGCCTGCCGAGCAGTGGTGGTGTGCCATTCACCATGCCTAGGCTGGCAGAGCAGGAGAGTGCCAGCCACTGGCACACTCCCTACTCGATAACCAGGAACACACACAGGCTTTCCAGGGGACAGTTGCTCCTCCGGTATCAGATGGTCAATGCCACTGAAGTAAGAGGCCAGCTGGGAGATTGGAAGTATCTCCACTAGCTTGGCAATGTCCTCAGGTAACTGTGCTTCATGACAACAATAGGGGACTGAGACACAGGCTGCCACTGGGGCTCCATGGCTGGCCAGGACCTTCTGCAAGGAACCGCCCAGTGATGGGTTCTGCTCTTTGTGGGCCCAGGCAGCAGGCGTTTGAAACCCCAACGCTCTCTCCCCCGTCCATCCCATTCCGAGTGACATCATTACCTGGGGGTTCTGCCGGGCCAGCTCCTCAACCTTGTGCCACATCTCTTCTCGCTCCCTCAGCTTGAACCTCCCCCTGCCGAGAAAGGGAAGAAGTTAAACTCTAGGGAAAAGTGGCAGAGATGGAAATCCGCTGGGGGGCCTGGCGACAGCAGGAGACATGGGGGGGGGGGGGAGGGGGAAGGGGGGGGGGGCACTAATTTTGTCCCTTACAAAAGACCTATTTCTGGGTGGGGGTAACACCTGGAAATTGGGAGCACCTGGCGGCTGGAGGAAGATGCATTCCATTCAGTGCACCTGGGAAGATTTTGGGTGGGCACAGAGTGTGTCTGTCTGACTTTGGGGGGGATCAGATTGCTAGCTGGAGGGTAAAGCAGCTGGAAGTGGGTTGTCTGAATGATCAGTTCATGTGTTTGAATTTGGAAGAGGGAAGCATGTGGACCTGTCCCCAGTACTACGTGCTGAGGCTAGTTTGGAGTTACCATTCTCGTTCCCCAGGCAAGGCACAGGAACATTGGAACTGCCCTACCAGAGCCGAGTGAGGGCCCATCTAGCTCAAGGTCCCTCTCCAACACTGGCCAGGACCAGCAGCTTCAGAGGATGGCACAAGAAGCCCTGAGGTGGCCAAATCACAGATTTTTCATACAGTTTAAGCCCAGAAGGGACCATCAGATCATCTAGTCTGATCTCCTGTATAACACAGGCCAGAGAATGTCACCCAGTTACCTCTGCATTGAGCCAAACAACTTGGGTTTGGAGATCTTCCCAAAAGGCTCCAGTCTGGGTCTGAAGGCATCAAGAGATGGAGAATCCACCAGTGCCCTGGGGAGTTTGTTCCAAGGGCTAATCGCCCTCACTGGTAAAAATCTGCACCTTATTTCTAAATACGTTTTGTCTGGCTTCAGCTTCCAGCCGCTGGGTCTTGTTCTGCCCGTCCCTGCTAGACTAAAGAGCCCTAAGAGCCTTGTCGTTTCTCCCCAGGAAGGCACGTACACATTAATCAAGTCACCTCTGCATCTTCGTTTTGATAAACTGAACAGATCGAGCTCTGAGTCCCTCACTCCAGGGCATTTTCTCCAGCTCACGGCTCTTTTCTGCATCTTCTCCAAATTTATAACATTCTTTTGAACATGTGGATGCAGTATTCCAATATCGGGCTCACCAATGCGGTATGCAGAGGTAAAAATCACTCCTCCCTGCTCCTACTCACTATTCCCCTATTTATACAGCCAAGGACCGCATTAGCCTTTTTGCCACAGCATCATATTAGGAGCTTACGCTCAGTTGATTATCCAGAATGGAAGCCCTGTGTTTTTTTCAGTCCCTGCTTTCCAGGATACAGTCTACCATTCTGTAGGGACTGCCAGCATTCCTTGTTCTAAGACGCATGACCTTGCATTTACCAAGAGATCCTGATCGCTGGGTGTCACTGAGCCCTTTTCTCAGCGTTATTTACCACTCCATCCTTCTTTGTGTCAGCAGTGATTTCATACTAAACTATCACATCACTGTTGAAAATGCAGACTAGTGCCTGCCTAGTACCAATCCCTGCGGAACCCCACTACAAACACCCCTGTTCTAGGATGGTTCCCCATTGAGGGCTAGTTTCTGACACCTGTCAGTTAGCCAGTTCATTCATTTAACGTGGGCTCTTACTGATATCGTACAGTGCGGAACTAAGTCAAATGCTGACAAAAGTCTCGGCAGGTTACATCTGTGCAGGTGCCTTTATTGACCAAATTTGTAATCTCACCAAAGAACGAAATCGGGATTGTTTGCCAAGACCTATTTCCCATAAACCAATGTTGACTGGCATTACAGTCCTATGATACACATGTGCAACACCATTCCACAAGAGAAGTTTCTTCCTATTCCCATCAATCAGAGACTGGTTTTATGCCCTGCAGCAGGACATTTTTTAATCCCACCTGATGGTACAAGAGGCCTCTTACCGACCCTTACACATCTAGGGTACCAATGGGGGGGGGGGAGGGATAGCTCAGTGGTTTGAGCATTGGCCTGCTAAACCCAGGGTTGTGAGTTCAGTCCTTGAGGGGGCCATTTAGGGATCTGGGGCAAAAATCTGTCTGGGGATTGGTCCTGCTTTGAGCAAGGGGTTGGACTAGATGACCTCCTGAGGTCCCTTCCAACCCTGGTATTCTAGGATTCTATGATCTGGGGTAAGTGACTGGTTTCTTGGGACTGGGAGCAATCTGATGGGAGAGTTTTGGTTTAGGTGACCATTATCACTAAGTTCAGTTTGTCTGGGTGGTAAGATAGATGGAGAGTCTAAGGGAACTGTCTGTGACTCCGTGGTCAGACTGCTAGAGTGATTCAGGAGTTCACCTTTGCTCCTGGCTTGGTGAAATCTAATTACAGAACACACCACAACCTTGGGGGGTCAGCCTGGTTTTCTGACCATCTGCCCTGAGGCTGGCACTCCCAGTTGAGAGCCGCTCCAGACAGCCTGGCAGCGATCATGAAGGCGTGTCCACAACTCCACCTAGCTGCCCCCTCAGCTTTCACATAAGGCAGTGTGGACACATGCTCCTGAGCCCGCCATCCCTATAGCTGCACCAGGCCCAAACTGCTGAGGTACAGACAATCCGCTAGTTCATAGCATGACCAGATGCACCATCTTATAACTAATAGGGCTTGAGCCTCTGATTTTTCTCCAAGGGTCTGACTTTCTGAGCAGCTGAACCCTGTTTAAGAAGTAACGAATCGCTCTTTGGATAGCAAGGTGCATGGCCTCACTTCTCCCGGAGGGCTAGGGGGCTCTAGAAAAAGACACCAGCAGTGCCAGCAACCCACTCCGTGTATGGCCCCGGGAAATGGGCATGCCTCTCACTACCCAGTACAGCTCACAAAGGTGTTGTGTGGCTGCGCAGCTGCAGGAAGTGATCAGTTCTGCAGAGGCAGGTACTGTGGGTGGCCAATAACCATTGAAATGTCTAATCCTTTTCTGAATCCTCCTAAGCTCTTGGCCTCAGTGATACCTTGTGGCAGTGAGTTCCATAGGCTAACTATGCCTTGTGTAAAAATATGTTTCTTTTTATCAGTTGCACACTGGTTGGCTGTCAGCCTTATGCAACATCCCCTTGTTCTTGTGCTATGACACAAGGTGAACAGGAACATCCAACATACCTTCCCTAACCCTGTAATTATTTTGTATACCTCCTATGTGCCCTCTTCTTTCTAACCTAAACAGTCCTCATCCTTCTCAATCTCTCCTCTCCTCAGTCTCACTGATTGGGGCAGGGTCCTATGGAAAAAACAGCATGTGATCATGTAATTACAGACAATATTATAATACATACGCACAAGAGGGACGAATTAATATTGCACAGGCAACCTTTATACTGGCATTTCCTATCTTCTGAGAGCTTGACTTTGCAATGTTAATACGGTAACTCCTCGCTGAACGTTGTAGTTCTGTTCCTGAAAAATGTGACTTTAAGCTAAACTATGTTAAGCAAATCCAATTTCCCCATAAGAATTAATATAAATGGGGGGGGTTAGATTCCAGGGAAATTTTCTTCACCAGACAAAAAGACTATATATACATACACACACACAAAGTTTTAAACAAACAATTTAATACTGTACACAGCAATGATGATTGTGAAGCTTGGTTGAGGTGGTGGCGTCAGAGGGTGGAAGAGGGAGGGATATTTCCCAGGGAATGCCTTGCTGCTAAATGATGAACTAGCACTCGGCTGAACCCTCAAGGGTTAACACACTGTTGTTAATGTAGCCGGACACTCTACAAGGCAGCATGAATGGAGGGAGGGGAGACAGCATGGCAGACAGAGACAGAGACACACACCCTGTGTGAGAGAGAGAGAGATGCGCATTGCCCCTTTAAGTACGCTGACACCACTCTAAGTACACCGCCATTTTAAATAAATTAGCAAGTTGATACAGCAGCTCCTGCCAGCAAGCTCCCTCTGTCCTGAGCGCTGTTGTGTATCCCCCCCGCTCTTTGGAAAGGGGGTAAGTGGGGTGCAGGAGCAGGGGGGATGGGGACACCCTGACATTAGCCCCCCTCGTTCTTCCCCCTTGCACAGCAACCAGGAGGCTCCGGAGAGCAGCTCCAAGGCAGAGGGCAAGAGCAGCACATAGCAGTGGGGGGAGGGACACCTGAACTGCCCAGCAATTGATAGCCTGCTGGGTGGCTACCGCACAGGGAACTTAGGGGAGCTGATAGGGGGCTGCCAGCCCACCCTGGTCCCAAGCCCCCACCAGCTAGATCCAATGGGCTGCTCTTCCTGCAAGCAGTGGACAAAGCAGGCAGCTGCCAAATGACGTTATAAGGGAGCATTGAGCAACTTTAAACGAGCATGTTCCCTAACTGATCAGCAACGTAACAACGTTAACCGGGACGACTTTAAGTGAGGAATCACTGTAATGTTCTTTGAACACAGGTTTGTGCATGTAACTTGCTAACTGAAAAAAGCAAGCTGAAAACACAGAAATTCCATCATGTGACATCTGATTGACCCCCCACATGGTCATCAGCCGGGTTGGAAATTTTAGCTCCACCCCCCTGACCTCCGCACCTTGAGCTAACGGAATAACTGATCGCATTAGTAGATTATCATCCTCTGTGTGGGCCAGCACTAGAGGAGAATGAGACACACACTTTCCCGGTCGATTTCACAGATATTTGCGAGACTCAGGAACCATGGACTCCATTCCAGGCTCTGGAGGGGAGTATTTCTAGTGGGCACACACTCTTCTGCCTGTTTCCCACAAGCAGGGCCGGCGCTTCCACTAGGCGACCCTAGGCGGTCGCCTAGGGCACCAGGATTTGGGGGGCGGCATTTTGCCGTCCTCGGTGGAAATTCGGTGGCGGGGGGTCCTTCCGCTCTGGGTCTTCGGCGGAAATTCGGCGCCAGGTCCTTCACTCGCTCCGGGACCCGCCGCCAAAGTGCCCCGAAGACGCGGAGCGGAAGGACCTCCGCCGCCGAATGCTCAGAGGAGGAGCGCTGCCGCCTAGGGTGGCAAAAACCCTGGCGCCGCTCCTGCCCACAAGTGTGACCCTTTCTGCCCTGCCCCCTCCAAGCTGCTTGGCCCCAGTCCCGTTTCTTCCCTACCTCGGCTCTTCTTCCCAGTCCCACTCTCCTTGGGAAGAATCACAGGTCTTGAACTAGACAATGCACCGACCTGGCTACCACCCAGCAGCAAACCCAAACCAGTAGAGAAGGGGGCTAGCGAAGCTCTAGTTCACAAAGTCCCCTCCACAAAGCTTCTAACGGGGGGGAACATCCAGCCCCATTCATTGGCTAGGAGGCACCACTTAAACCCACAAAAGGCACAGGAAGTTGTCCAAGCAACTAGGTGTCTCCCCCGTCTGTTGCCTTGGCTCTTTGTCCCAATCTCTTTGCCCAGCTAGTGCCAGTTCTCCCCTTGCATCCCGGCTCTTTGTCAGGTCTCTCTCCCCTCCCACTCCCCCATGGGTTCTCAGCCCTAGTCTCCCCCTGGTTCCTCATCCAGTCTCAATCCCCCCAGATACTGGCTCCCAGAATCCCAATGCCAGTCTCCCCCTGGCTCTAAGTACCAGTCTCCTTGCCCAGCCAGCCCCAGTTTCCCCACCCTAACTCCCAGGCCCAGTTTTCCTCTCCCCACCCCTGCCAGGCTCCAGTCCCAGCCTCCTTGTCCCAATCTATTCTCCCCACTACTTTGCTGGTCTGGCTCTTGTCCCCTCTACGTTGGAGTCAGCCAGCTTCCACCTCCACACTGCTTGGGCCCAGCAGCCAGGGGGTCATTAAGAGCAAAGGAAAGAATCTCCCTGCTCTCAATCCAGTGCCTGAACCCAGCATGGCCCATGGCAGCCCAGAGCTGCAATTGCAGGGCAAGTCCTGCTCGGCCCTGGGCGGAAGCATGCCCAATGTAGATAGAATCTTTGGGGAATTTAGCGGCGAAACTCTCGCACATCTCTACTCGGCAACCGGGTCAAATCTGGGCAGATTTTCACATGGGATCTCAAGAGGCATATCCCTGCCACAAAGGTCACCTCCTGCCAAATTTCAAATCGCTGCTCCAAAGCACAGGGGGGCTACAGCTTTTCACAGACAAGGTTGTCAGAAATTTTTAACATGAGCAAAACAACGTAGTTCCATGCTTCTATACATTGTATGTTCTTAGAAATGGCTGACATTTTCTAAAACCATTCAGTCAGAGCCAGACCCCCTGCATGGAAAATGTCAGACGGAACGGTTGAAGTGTGGAAAAGTCATAAGCTAATGAAAACAAGGTGTTTTAGGGTGTGTCTACACAGCAGCTGGGACTGCCACCCAAGTACCTCCATGCAGGGGGCGGGGCGGGTTTGAACTTGGGCGGCTCGACTGAGCCCCACGCTGCTGTTTTTAGTTCACTAGCTGGAGCAGAGCAAACAAGTCTGCCTATCTGTGCGGGAAAGCACCTCCCAGCTGCACTGCACACATACCCTTCATGCAAAGCCTTGGGCAACCCCGCCTACATTCTACATACATTCCTTCCAAACAGCAACAGCCCTAGTATGGACCCCTGGGAAACCCTTGCTGTCGTCAGCTTTCAACATGACCAAGTTCATTTATCTCAGCTCTTCGTTTTCTGTCTCTTATCCACTTTCTGATCCATGACGGAACTTTACCTCTCACCCCAGGGCTACTTTGTTTCCTTACTAGCCTCTTGTGAGCGACTTGAAATGCAAAATAAATTATGCCATCCTGTTCTTTATCCATTGTTCTTCTGATACCTTCAAAGGGCTCTGCTAGGTCAGCGAGGCACAACTTCCCTTGGCAGATACCATGCAGGCCTGTCCCCAGCCTGTCCTGTTTTACTAGGTATTTTTTATTCTAGTTTTAACCTACTTACCAAGTCCCAAAGTAAGGCTCGCAGGGCTGTAACCACCCCCAGAGACGTTTTAAAAATAGGGACAATATTTGCTACCCTCCAGTCCGTGGTACAGTACCGGACTTTAACAAGCATGTATGTATTAGAAGCTCAGCCACTTCATTCCCAAGTTCCTTCACAGCTCTTGGATGTATCACTAGGGGCTGGGGACCGGAGCCCCTTTAATTGATCAATTTATTCCAGCACCTCCTCTTCTGACAACTCAACCCCAGACAATTCTTTATAATCTGAGAACAGCAGATACCTCCCCAAACGCCATCATGCCCCCAATTCAGCAAAACCCTTAAGCAGAGACTTAATTTTTAAGCATGTGCTTAGGTTCCATTGAAGTCAATGGGTGACGAGAAGGTGCTTAAATGCACTGCCGAATCAGAGCCTTCGTTTCTCTGCAGCGTCCTCCTCCTCCTCCACTTCTCCCTTTATTCCCTGGTGGTCCAGCAAACCCACCAGTTCTGCAACAGGCTTCTTGCTTCTGATAGACTGACAGGATTTCTCAGTTGTTTCTAGCTTTTCGGTGTCCACCTCTGCCTTCCTAATTTCCCTCTCGCTTTTTTCCTGCTTTTGTTTATACTCCTTCCCCTTGGCTTCCCTACATTCTGAAGGGTCCCTGTTTGACCGGAGCAACCGCTTAAACCTGACTGCTAACCGTACTGACTTGGGACTTTCCTCACACGGTCAAGGAGACTCAGATATTAGTTTAAGTCAGCTGAGGGGAAGCCCCTGCCCAAGCTACTCACTTCTGCTTCTCTGCCTTGTATTGCTGTGTGCAGTCATCAAACAGCTTCTGGTTCATCTCCATGAACAGCTTCAGGGCGTTGTAGATCAGGCCATGGATCGTCCTGCAAAGAAGGCAGAAGAGGGACACTGGGTCACAGGTAGCATCAAGTTGTCTGTCCCTTACCCTGTTGGGAGGGAGACAGGCATCACTTCTGCTTGTAGGAGCTTGACCAGAGCCCTTCCTATGGTCCCAGGACTCAGTGTGAAAAGAACTGAGACCTGAATCCATTTGATTATTCCACAGGGGGGAGCAGCTCTCTTCACAGTGACTGGGGCTGCAGTTCAATGGAGCCATAACTAGTAATGCTGCTGAGTTGGTGGTTCCCAACACAGATGTCAGCAGGCAATCAGCATTCAAGCCCCCAGGGCCTTTCCTATTGGGCATCACATAGTCAAAGAAGCTAGAGATGGAAGAAGCTGGGGGCCAGCTCGGGGATTTTCCCTATAGAGCTTTGTTCAACCCAGTTTTACAGCTGCATGTGATGGAGGTTTGCAATGTACCAGCCGGATTGTTTGATTTCCCCACATGGCTTCACTCCATTCGCTCAGTTCCAGTGTACAGCAGCTGCTGCAGCAAACTGGAACGTACACCACCTCTGAAGGAGGGGTACTTAATAGCAATTTGGAACCAGGAACCAGCACTGCGTGCACTGAGAGAACAAGCCACCTCCTCCTCTGGTGTCAAGGATGCTTGCATTGTGTCACGCCTTATTCAGACTACACTGTAAGCCCCTGGGGCAGGGACTGTGTCTTGTCTGAAAGTGCCCTGCCTGTCTGTGGTGCTGGGAAATCAGAACACAGATTGGACTCGTGCCCAGAAGCATCATGGGCTAGTAGTCATGCAGTCTGGCTCCTGTAAGTCACCTTACCTCTCTGTGCTCCCTCCCCAGCCATGAAAGAGGACTCACGGTACTAACTGCCTTTGGGAACAGTTGGCAATAAAGGGATAGCTCCTAGATGTTATTTTCTGACACACACAGTGACCGAGTTGGGGGAAGGAAGGGGAGAATTTCAGGGTCCCTCAGCCCATTCTGGGAAAGCAAGGGTGGCAGCGAGAAAGATCTCAGGGAAAGCAGGACTAGTAGAAAAATACCATCACAAACTGGAAAGAGGCAGAAACAGAGTACAAGCACTGCTCCCAGGAAGGAGAGAGAGAAAGGCGGACAAATGAGGGGGAAGATTAGACAAATGAGAAAAGAAACCTCAGAACCGCTGGAAATGGCTCTGTCTAGTGGTGCAAAGCACATTTCTGAATCATGACGGTAGGAAGGTGGCCCAAACTACATGAAGAAGTGCGTGCGTGATAAGTACTGGTGTGAAAGCCAAGGCCACAGTTACTATTTCCTTGCCTGGTGATGAGCATAACATTTACCCCACCCCTTAATGGGAGCTGCAAAGGGAACAGTTCAGTTTGTGCCTCTTTCTGATTCTTTATGGCGAAGAGGCGAGCGAAAGCAGAAACAGACAATGGTTCAATAGTTTGCTAACAGTTTTTATTCAGCAGCCAATTTCTTTGTATTACAGACACACTGAATCCCAGCTCCAGCAAGCTTCCCCTAAATTGTATTAAAAGTGCCCTAGTTTTGCCTCTTTCCAGTGTACAGGGAAGGCCTGAGGACGAGGGCGAAGGGGAGGTGGGGGCTTTCCTGCCTTCTCCCCCACAGAAATATCAGGAAATGACCCCCCCGGCCAGGCTTCAGAGCCCAAGCCTGAACATTTACACAGCTATTTGTAGCGCTGTAGTGCAAGCCCAAGCTCTGAGACTTGCTGCCGTGAGTTTCTGCTGGCCCTGCAAATGTACCCCCAGGGGTCTCGGATGTGTGCTGTGAGCTTCCTAAGCCATTCACCCAAGCAGCGGGGGTTCGGACTCTTAACCCCTATTTAACTGAAACAGCTAACAACAGTTGGAGGAAGAGCTGGGTGGTGGGCGGGTCACATGAGGATCTGGTGCCAAGCAGCAGCGGGAAGCACAACTGTGGTGTGGGTTGTGCTGTCTCAGAGCTCTCTCTGTTACCTGGCAGCTGGAGACACCAGATCAGCACATTCACCAGTGCCTCTATTCAGCCCTGGAGGCCGCAGAGGTCTCTGCGCTCCACGGTTTGTGAAACTGGGCTAGACAATCCCGACACACCTACCAGTCAGACTCCAAGGGCTAGAGATATCGGCCATCTAACTGACTGGGTTGGCTGAACAGCCACCCAAAATGACACGTTCAGGCCCCGGCTGCTGTGGGCTACTTGGGTTTTTCAGATCTAGTGCACCCATCCCCTTGGTATCTGAGCTCCATGCCTCCTCTGTGCCCCAAAGCAAGCAGCAGCACCACAATGAACTCCCCTGGAGCCAGAAGCAGGCCTGCGCGATCCTGGATGCTCACTCACTCATTCCTAATGGCCCCCAGACCCACAGAAAGGACCTACTTGTTCCAGTGACTCTTGGAATTCTTGTAGAGTGCCGGGAACATGATGGGGAGAATTTTGGCTGCATTGTCGCTGATCAGGCTCATGATGTACTCGTTGTTCCAGTAGTACAGCGCTCGCTCGGCCACCTGCAGGAGGAGGGAAGCACATCTCTGTATAGGCTCCTTGCGGACAGGTCATAGGGTGCATGTGAGAATTCCACTCGTCACCAACCAGGCAAAAGTTCTGGCACTCCCCAGCCAAGAAATCAGACTCGACAGAGCTCCGGCTGAGGAGCTCGTCTTTGCCACCTCTGGCAATGGTCCTCTGCCTGGAGAGACCCATCCCTTGGTTTCTGGTCTCTCCTCGTTTACATTCTGCTGCATCTACACCAAGAGCTCCTCCTCTCCCTGTGCAGGGCGGGTCCTCAGGGCTATGTCCTTGGGTAGCCTCATTTGGTCACATGGCTTCAGCTGCTATTGTTATATCGATGACTCTCCATTCAGTCACATCTCCAACAACTCTTCCTCGTATTGTCCTGCCTCCAGCCAAAGCTCAACAAGGGCTAAAAATGGAGCTCTTTCCTCCCTGAAATCTCCACTCCCCTCCCTGTCCAACAGGGACATCCCTCTGTGTTCTCTCTTCCTCCTGACCCTCCAAACTGACATCACTGATAAGCCTGGTCAGTTTTTCTCCATTGCTGTCTGTCCCCAACTTCAAGACCTCATCCAGGTCCTAACCATCTTTCACCTCCGTTACAGCAACTTCCTTCTCTTCGACCTCACTCTCTTCAACCGACCAAAAATACTGTCAAAGCCATTTCCCCTGCCTGCTGCTCGGACCACATCAGACCCCTCTGCAAATCTCTCCCAAGGCTCCCCTTTGCCTTCCGTACAAAACTCAAGACCCTTGTCCTCACCTTTGGGTTCTTGCACAAATTGGATCCCACCTTAATGTTCTTGTCTCTCTCTGCTCCCCGGACCACCTTCCATATAGCTCCCTAGGCTAAGACTCCTCCCTGACCTGCTCCACAGTTCCTTTACCCTCTCCTCCTTACGCTATGCCTTCACTGCACACTTAACCCGGGTGACTGGCACTCAGGTCTCAGCACTGGGTTAGCCTACCCTGGGTGTGAGGATCCCCACTGCAAAGGCCCATCTGTGTTACTGCGTCCTCACTGTTTCTGCACACGCCCGTGTGTGTCTGGGGAGATATCCCTTTTAATCAGAGACACTCTATGATTCTGTCAACTGTGGGAGAGCCTGTTGGTCCTTCAGTGGGATTGTGGGAATGGATTGGAGGACTATGTTCCAGCTTGAGTTAAAGCGGAACTCAGGTTCTAACCCACCCCTGCAGCGGAGTAAGCTAGCCCAGGGTGAAAGCACCTCCAAACCCTCTGTGGCTGCAAGGGGACTCTGGGCTAAAAGTCACATAAGGGCCTGGGTTAACTGGGCAGTAAAAATGTATCCTATGAGGGCACTTCAGCCACAGTCCTCACCCTTCCTTCAGGGGAGAGAGAAGAAACCTTCTCTCTCAAACCCCCCCCAAACAAAAAACAAAACAAGCCTGTGGCTCTATCACGCCAGGTCCCTGCATGTCCCTGCTCAGCTGCAGAGTCAGATTTAAGACCAAAAGAGAACATTGTGATCATTGGGCCTGACCTCCTGTATAACACAGGCCACAGCATCCAGTAATTCCTGCTCTAGACTATATCTTTTAGAATATAGCTTAAGACGCCAAATGATGGGGAATCTACCACATCCTTAGGTAAGTTGTTCCAATGGTTAATTACCCTCACTGTTAAAGAAAGAAAAGAAAAGGCCTTCTTTCTAGTCTGAATTTATCTAACTTCACGTTTGAGCCGTTATATCTTGTTATGCCTTTGTCTGGTAGATTAACAAGCCAGCTCTCAGACACCTCTTCCCCACTGAGGCACTAGACCAGGGGTCAGGCAGCCTTTCAGAAGTGCTGTGCCGAGTCTTCATTTATTCACTCTAATGTAAGGTTTCGCGTGCCGGTAATACATTTTAACGTTTTTAGAAGGTCTCTTTCTATAAGTCTATAATATATAACTAAACTATTGTTGTTTGTAAAGTAAATAAGGTTTTTAAAATGTTTAAGAAGCTTCATTTAATATTAAATTAAAATGCAGAGCCCCCTGGACCCGGGCAGTGTGAGTGCCACTGAAAATCAGCTCGCGTGCCACCTTTGGCACGCGTGCCATAGCTTGCCTACCCCTGCACTAGACTATGACCAAGTCCCCTCAAACTCTCTGATAAGGTCACTGTAAGACAGTGTTTTCCTCACAGAGCTTTATTTTCATAACTCTTTTCTGAACCGTCTTCGTTTTATCAACATTACTGGACACCAGAATGGGACGCTCTATCCCGTAACGGTCTCACTAATTCTGTCCACATGCAGAGGGAAAACCACCTTCTTACCCCTACTCAATATCTCAATATCCCCCTGCTTATACAGTCAAGAATTTCCATCATGTGCTTAAGTCGTTTTCAGAGTCCATGCTTTACAGGATACAGGCCCCATCCTGTCAGTGTAGCCTACAGTCTTTGTACCTAGCATTCGGCTATATTAAAATGCATGTTGTTCAACTGAACCCAGGTGACCAAGAGGTCCAGATCATTCTATACAATTGACCCCTCCTTTTCTTTAGTTATCACCCCACCAATTTTTATGTCACCAGCCAGTTTTACCAACAATGATTTTACATTTTCTTCCAGATTATTGATAAAGATATTGAATAGCACTGGGCAGAGAGCCCCATCTGATGATTCCATTTACAATTACTTGTTGAGATCTATCAGTTAGCCAGTTTTTAATCCATTTAACATGGGCCACAGTGACTTTGTACAGCGTCACTCTCCAGATTATCATGTGGGACTAAATCAAATGTCTCGCAGACATCTAAGCAATTTATGTCAACACCATTACCTTTGTCAATTAAACTTGTAATATCATAAAAAAACCTCTATCACATTAATTCAACAAGACCTATTTTCCACAAAACCCATGTTGATTGGCATTCATTATTTTGCCATCCTTTAATTCCTGACCTTCTTGATGCGTGCCTGCTTTTGCGTGGCATCTACCTACACAGTGAGTTGTGTGGGGAAGAGACCATGTATCTGCGAAGCGCACGTCACATTGATGGCAAACAAGAGGCAATGCAGAGGAAGGGCGTGGAGAGGGGCAGCTGCTGAATGGCTCGATCCCAAAACTACCAGGCGTGCCCCTCAGCACTGTATCACGGTGTTAACATTTCCACCTTCCCCAGCTACCCTTGGTATCCCTCAAATGGAACCACCAAGTGACCCTGAAGATCTTCCATCCTTCCTGCTCTTCCCCTCTTCAATCTCCACAATGGATGATCTGCTGCCCCAGAGCCAGGCCAGTGCAAGGTATCCTTTCTGCGGGCATGCAACACTGGGAATTCTCATAAGAGCAGAAAGTCTCACTGGCTGATCAGCCTCCAGTGCAGTAAACAAGTAGATAATTTGATCTCAAAAAGGCCTGGGCACAGTACTCAGGGACAGGAGGAACCTGAATGGGGCCCATCTCCCCCACGTATCAGATCGGCCACTTACAAGAGGCAGCACAAGATCCCCACGCTAGCCCCTCAATGTTGTAACACTCAGGGCTGGGGAAAACACTATCAGTAGCTTGGGAGGACATTCACAGTCGTCCTACTCCTAGATTATTGGTCTGGTGGCTCACTAATGCCTCCTGTTTTTGTGCCATCCTCAGGAGTCATCCTGATCACTGCTGCCACTAAATTTACCATCGATTCCGCTAGTGATCACAGAAGCACGCTCCAGAATCTCAGCTTCACCCTAAAAACAGGACCCGGGTGCAAAGCAATGCCAGGTGGTCTTGCTGAGCCTGGAACCTACCTGGAAGTGTGGGCTGGAAACACACTTGGCCAGCTGCCTGAACAGGGGCTCCATGACCTTCACGAACTCAGAGGGCTCGATCACATCCAGTATTTCCTCCAGCTCGTTCAGAAACATCACCTCCTTGGGACTGTGCGTTTTCGGCCAAAACTTCAGCAAGCCCACAATCACCTGAGAGGTAAAGAAAGGAGCTTGGGAGCAGAGTGCAAACCTATTGGCACTGCTGTCTAGCCCCTCAGCCACAGAACCCCAGCACAGCCACATCCCATGCACATCAGCAGACGCAGGGCCTGTACATATGGACTCACTCGGGTTAGGCATACAAATCACCAGCTCTTTCATGCCTCTGAACCCCACCCCTCCCCCACAGCTCTGCATCCAGAGACTCTCCGCCAGCACAGAGGCCTCGAACCGCTCTGTCCTCCCAGACCTTAGGAGGGACTAAAGAGGGTCCCATCAAGGTATTTGGCCCTCAGAATCCCAGTGTCTGGGGCAGTCCTTGGAACTATATGTTGCAGGACAGGCACTGGGTGAACTCTCTTCTGGACTCTCCTCCTCAACTCTGAAGCGGCACAGCTTCCCTTGCTGCTCCTCTCTCCTCTCCCTACCTTGCCAACGCCACTGACTACCTGTCCAGCACACGGACCCTCTGGGCTCCAGACCCGGAAGCTGAAGGCACCTATATCACCCGGCACCTACCCCCACATTTCCCTGCAGGCAGCCTGGACAGGATATGGCTGCACAGAGAGGTGGAGTGCATAGACGCTAGCTCTGCCTAGGAGCGCTACCTAGCAGCAGACATAGTTCCTTCTTCCCTGGCTACACCCTCCTTGTTCTGCTCAGGTTCTCACCATTCCCATCAGCATGGTGGCTGACAGCCTTCTCAAGCTAGGGCACTAAGCAAGGAGACTACTTCCCCCCACCCCAGCTCCTTCCCAAGCAGAGGAAAGCTGCCCGGGTAGTGAATGGGTTTTCTGATAACTTAATGTGCTTGGTGGTGTTCTTGGAGAAGGCAGGTTGAAGAGGGGGAGCCCTGCATTTGGGCCAAAAAGTTCCTTCTGAGCCTTGGCTTCACCCACTTTGGGACTAGCCCATGTCCTAAGGGTTCAGACTACACAGGGAAAAGTGATCATCGCCTGCTTTTCACTCTGTCCCCACGAGAACAAGGGGCCACTCAAAGTGACATGCTGGTGAATAGAGAGCAACGGAGAGAAATTCTGCTTCCCAGGAAATGCAGCTGCCCTGTGGCGCTCACGGCCGCAGGAGACTCAGGACAGGGACTGGAGACTTTTACGAACAGTCGTGTTTGTTGTATGGATGCGGAGATTCAGACGATCGAAACTGATGTTTCAGAGTGTAAACTAATCACCAAGGGGTCAGAACGGAAGTTCTCGTCCAAATGCAGGATCGTACCATTTACCAAGTGCAATGGGGGGGAGGGGGGGGTGTTTTCCACTGTCACCTGAGGCATCAGGTACTGGCAGGGGAGGGATACTGGACTCAATGTATCATGATCTGGCTAACCTATTGTCCCAAAAGGGATGTGACAAATCCACTGAACGCCAAATACCAATGCTCGGTGCCTTCTAGATCAGAATCCAAATGCACTGAGTGAAAGTTTTAGCCACTCACTTCCAAATCAAATCTCTTTCTGAAACAGATACAGCCACACGCGGCAGAGTCTGCCGTTTGAACATTCATTTGGGAGAGATGCAGTGCATGAAAACTGCACAGGGTGGCTTCAAACAGAACGGTTTGCAAGAGCAGTTCTCCTAACTAACACTGTTTGTAGTTCAACAACAGAGGTTATGAAGCCGAAGTGTCAGTGGACGTTCAGAGAGCTTACACGCTGTTCAGCTAGCACTGGTCAAAGCTGAACACAGCACTCATGGCTGCAGTGCCTGGTTGGTGCTGCACAACTGAACACATTTTGGAAACGCCAGCCTTTCACCAATTCCTAGGAGAAGCCTGAAACGCCGAGCTTAGCCCGGCAAGCAGCCTGAGGGAACAGCAGAGGGCGCAGCAGCAAGAGGAAGGCTGCTTGCATGATGTTTCCACCGTCCCAAGGGCTCTGCAAGGCAGGGACAGCTCGGTGTCCACAGCACTGGTAGTTTTGCCATTCAATCAATAACTAGTTTCAGTGACTCCAAAGGCAGTTTTCCCTCGAGCTAAGGCTGGGTGAGAGGCACAGGAGTTGGTCTTTGCTTTGTTTGGTTATCACGAATACTGCCATTCTGGAGCACGTTTATTCAGCGAGATTCGGTGTGGCAGCTCGTGTGTTATGGCTGAATGAAGGACAAACAAGGCAGGGATCAAGCACACAAGCACCACATGAGGTCCCTGGTTACTAAGGCTTGGATACTTTACACAAACACACAGTGCCTTCTGTGATGACGCTGCCTTGTCTTCACAGAATCGGTCTGGTCGGAGCTTGATACAGTGCCCCTTGCAGTGAGTGGGAGTCCTACCATGGGCACCGAATCAGGCCTTTGCTCACTGATTTGCAAAATTCAGTCATGAGTCTTCGCGTTGTCAGTAAGGATCTACAACCACGCTTTGCTGTGTGAATGCACAGCAAGAACCCCCCAGAAATTCTCTGCTTCCCTCCCCCATCTCAGCAGCTCCAATACTTTGAGTGGCAGGCTCAGCTAGATCTCACTAGCCTGGGATCAGCAGGGCGGTGAATTACCTGGCACAGGAGACATGTGCTTCCCCTGACAATGAGAATATGGATGACTTGGAGTGAGTGGGAGGGCAGGAGGAGGCCTATTTCCAGAACCTGCAGTGTGGGAATGCTGGAGCTAGAATGTGCAAATGGCTGAACACAGGCAGGCTAATTGTCAGTGCGCAGCTTTGCCAGCTCAGGTGCAACACAACCCAAGCTGTAAATATGAGTAATTAAAATGTCATTTCCATGCACGAGCCAGTAGCCGTCTGCCAGAGCTGAGCCTGTGTAGAATAGAGCCACGTATGGCATTTCTCCGCACTCTGCCCTGAGGAGCGGAGCCCTTGATCTTCCTCTCACACCCTCTGTCCCGTCAGCATTGCTCTGCTTAGTGTTATTGTGGGTCTGCAGAGCCACAATGCAGGACACACATCTGGGCCCTGTTTGCGCCAGAGCACCACATTGTACAAATTTAGTCTTCAGCAGCATTGCAACTTGAAGGCAAACTCAGCTGCCAGGATTCAATGTCCTGGAGGTGAACTGGCAGGAGGGGATATGATAATGAGGCTCCAACAGCTCAGTAAAACAAAGCCCACCCCTCCACAAGGGACAGCTCACGCAGGCTAAACAGACCTTTCTGTCTCCAGTTTCTACACCCTCTCCCGTGGTCTTCTGACCAGCTCTAGTGGTTTAGACTGGATCTCAAACACCCGCAGTTCCCTATAAACTCTTGCTGGTTTCTTCGGCTGTCCGATTCCCAAGCATCTTCTCATGGCAGAAGCTGTGTAGCCAGAAGGGGAGTTGCCATGAGAGGGTCTTTGCATGCTTTGCATTCTGCTACAGGTGGACTGGAATCATACAAGACAGACTCACTCCTAGCTGTGCTCTGCTTGCTCATGTCTTGTTTCCAAACTGCTCAGCCCCCAAAGCCTGCCTGGCTGGGCGTATCTAGAGTATCTAGTCCTGCTCTGTGCTTGTGACACGTCAGATGACCGATACCCCTCTGCAGGCCAGCTCCAGTGAGCGAACAAATCCAACTTATGCCAGGTCTTTGGAGTGGGGTCAGAGTAACTTAGCTGCTGAAGTGTCTAGAAATGATCTTGTGATGTGAACTGGGGCCGTGGCTGACATGCCAAAGCCAAGCAAGGGCACTCACCGGTTCGGTCAAGCTGCTGTCTTTCTCCAGGAACTGCACAACACAGTACGCCAACTGCAAGGAAAACACAGCTCATTTGAACTCCTCTCTTGGCTAAGCAGACGGCAAGCAGCACTTACCACGGCCCGTGGCTGCATGCCAGGTCAGACCTGCTCCAGCGTGTGTGCCTGGCAACCTGCAGCAGCTCAAAGTGACTGATAGCGAATGGTGAGCTTGTCTCTGTTAGGCCAAGCAGAAGAACCCTGGGCGGCTTTGGGAGCCAGAAGCTCTGAGTTCTGTCCCTCATGTTGCACCAGGTGTAGTTTGTGGCCACATGTTCACAAGCAGCAGGCAGCACACTCACAAATCTGTGGCTACAAACAGGTAGATGAATAGATTCTAAGGCTGGAAGGGACCACTGTGATCATTTAGTCTGACCTCCTGTATAACACAGCCCACAGGACTTCGCAGAATTAATTCCTGGGTGAACTCGAGCAGGTTTCTTAGAAAAACATCCCATCTCCATTTAAAAATTGCCAGTGACAAATTGAGCAACTGAAAAGCCCTCCCCTCCCAAAAACATGGTCAGGGAAGCAACAGGAAGGAAGAGAGCTTCACCATTCAGATCTGGGCTTTTGTCCCGTATTCTCCCTAGATCAGCAAGGACCTTGCCTCCATATCTGTCTAAGTACACAGCACACACACACACAGGGGCTGGGGAATGGAACTCGGGGCCTTCAACTCTCTGAATACAACGGTAGCAGCGAGTAGCAGATATTTAAGGATAAGGCCCAGATAGTTAAAGGTATTTAGGCATTCCTGCACTCAGCGTTGCAATGCCTGACTGATTTAGGAGCCTAAATCTAAAGTGATTTAGGCACTTAGGAGTCAAAATCCCATTGATGGTCGATAGGATTTAGGCTGCTAAATCAGTCAGGCATTGCAATGCTGAGCGCAGCAAGGCCTAAATACCTGTAAAAAAATCATCCATGAGCTTCCAACCATTGAGGATGAGTAGGCCTGACGTTCAAGCCAGCAGAGGACACTGCCCAGGAGCAAGAGGCAGCAAGTTAACAGACACGGGTGAAGGAGGCCAGGGCCGGACAGCTCAAAGCACATGCTGGGGGGTGAGAGGAACAGTCAGGCGTCAGAGGGGGTGAACGTACAGAGGCAGGAACCCCCGCTGCCAGGTTTTGATAAGTGAAGCCTGGTGGTGGTTGTAAATAAGCCTGAGTGTTTGACCTCTCCAGTAACTGACAGAGCCTCTCACCTGTGGGTGGTAGACACTCAGCGATTTCACCTTGTGCAAAGGTAGCAAGACCCGGATGAGGAACATCTTGTGCTCTTCCTTCAGAGGCAAAGCGAACCCATTGATTATACTGAGTAGGGGAAGGGAAGAGAGACATGACAGGGTCAGGTATTACTGAATATGTACCAGAGCAACCACAGCATAAAACCAGCCCCAGCCCTACCACACCACATTAACATCTCCAGGAAGGACCTGGCTTCAGGGCTGCAGTCACTAGGGCCCCAGCCCCAGGGGACCCTGAAAATGTGTCCTGAAAAGCACATTCCCTCCAGTGAAGGCCAATCACATGCAGAGTGGGAAATCCCACACCACAGCGTGAGCTGGGCCTTGAAGAGGGCTCAGCTGCCCCCATGCCACACTTAGCTCCAGGAGATGAGTTCTGCAGTAATGTGTCAAGGATCACATGATTAAGCCAGGCCGACTGGGGCGCCGAACCGAGATGGACTCTGGGGTGAGCAGCCCTGGCAGTAGTGCTCTACAGAAGAGCAGGAGGACTGGAGTGTTGGAAGAGGCCCTGGGAAGGAGATGCAGGAGCGTGGTTGAGGCTATGGGGCAGAAAGCCCAGCTGTTCAGAGTTCCCTGGGCTGGGATTCCACCTAGGCGGGCAGGTGTGGGTCCCTCCTGCGCTGCCAGTTGACGTGATGTTGCAGTGACCTCTAAACAGAAGGGATATGGAGAGACTGGGCAGAGCCCGGCAGAAGAGTGGCTGGGGATGGAAGGGCTGTGCCCAGACTGGAGAGGGGCACTCTTTACCTGTGCCTGTGTTTGGACTCTGATACCCGGGAAGGAGCAGACTTGTGTAAATTAGCTGGAGGGCTGAGTCAGCTCAGCAACCCAACTGTGCTGGAAGGCTGAGAGAACCAACATGTGTGAGGGGAAACTGAGGCAGCAGATGGGCCTGAAGGCAGATTGGGTAAGTCCCTGCTACACCACACAATACACTAGGCGAGGTCCCACCCTGCTCAGAAGCCCTGGAGCTCCTAGCAGTGGTAGAAGAAACACAGAAAGGGAGAAATGCCCTTACCTGCCCAAGATCTCCAGCAGCTCTGCAATCCCATTGTGATGCTCTGTTTCATAGATAAACCTGAGAAGAAGGGAGAGGGATGGGAGAGGAGAGGAGTCATTGCCAAGCACAGGACACAGCTCCCCGAAAGAGATGACAGGATTCAGGAAGAGGACAGGATTGTCCACGCTACACAAGAGTGGGTAAGGGATCAGCCCAGGCTCCCAGATCAGCAGTGGGCTGCTTTGGGGCATGACCGGGGGAAGAAAGCCCTATCATTTCCCACATCAGTCAGAGGCATTCCGCATGACTGAATCCTCACTACCCTTGTAGCACAGGCAAATACTATCCCCATGTCCAGAGACACAACCTAACTCGCCCAGTCACTGGCGGGGCCGGGAACAGACGGAATGCTCCGGCTTTGCTTCCCCCAGGTCCTCCAAGCCCGTTCCCAGCATCGCTGGGCCTGGCAGAACAGCTCACCTGTAAAAGATGTTGTTGATCTGCCGCCTCACGTACGCTCGCAAGCCCAGGAACTTCCCGTAAATCCGGTGTAAGATGGTCTTCAGGAAGTCCCGCTCTCTGGGATCTTCACTGTCGAACAAATCCAGCAGCTGTGGAAAGAGGGATTCAGTTAGTCCTGAGGCGCTCTCCCCTGGACATGGGCTGCCGACCGCACAGGGGAAAGTGTCTGCTCATCGGTGTAAGTAGGTTCCAGTTTGGAGCGCACCCCTCTGCACGCAGTGCACGCTGGTGCCTCCCCACGGTCAGCCACGTCTAGTGTCGCCAGCAGCTGCTCAGACTCCTGTAGCAGAGCAAAGGCTGTGCCAGTGCCGGCTCCTGAGTTTGCCTCTCCTCACGCAGCCCAGCTCTAGGGCAGGGGAAACCCTTGCTGCTCTCCCAGTCCCTCAGGGACCTTCTCTTTGGAAGCAGCTTCTAGAGTGAGTTTCAATGGCAGCAACCCATGCAGGTTCCCCAAGAGCTCCTCCAGTGAGGGGATGGAGGAAGGTGGAGCTGCCCAGACACTGCATAAGAACATAAGAGCGGCAAGACTGGGTCAGACCAACGGTCCCTCTAGCCCAGAATCCTGTCTTCCGACAGTGGCCAATGCCAGGTGCCGCAGAGGGAATGAAGAAAACAGGTTATCATCAAGTATCAGAGGGGTAGCCGTGTTAGTCTGAATCTGTAAAAAGCAACAGAGGGTCCTGTGGCACCTTTAAGACTAACAGAAGTATTGGGAGCATAAGCTTTCATGGGTAAGAACCTCACTTGCATCTGAAGAAGTGAGGTTCTTACCCACGAAAGCTTATGCTCCCAATACTTCTGTTAGTCTTAAAGGTGCCACAGGACCCCCAGGTTATCATCAAGTGATCCATTTCCTGTCGCCCATTCCCAGCTTCTGGCAAACAGAGGCTAGGGACACCTTCCCTGCCCACCCTGGCTAATAGCTATTGATGGACCTATCCTCCATGAACTTATCTAGTTCTTTTTTGGACCCTGTTATAGTCTTGGCTTTCACAACATCCTCTGGCAAAGAGTTCCACAGGTTAACTGTGTGTTGTGTGAAGAAATACTTCTTTTGTTGTTGTTGTTTTAAACCTGCTGCCTATTAATTTCATTTGGTGACCCCTAGTTCTTGTGTTATGAGAAGGAGTAAATAACACTTCCTTATTTACTTTCTCCACACCCGTCATGATTTTATAGACCTGTATCATATCCCCCCTTAGTAGTTTCTTTTCCAAGTTGAAAAGTCCCAGTCTTGTTAATCTCTCCTCATATGAAAGCTCTTCCATACCCCTAATCATTTTTGTTGCCCTTCTCTGAACTAAGCCTACTACCCATCCCCTCTGAGGAGGCCATGGGGGCTGCTTGAGCAGCGATATGCAGCATGTCTGCTAAACACCCCTTCACGAGAGCATGGGGAGGGGGAAGCTGGAACTACTTACTGACAGTACAAACTTCTGGTCAATGTATTTCTTGGCTATATTTGGCTGAAAGTCGGGCGACTCCAGGAACCGCAGGAAGAATTCATACACCAGCTGAGGAGAGCAAGAGGAGGCTTTTTAAAAAAAGAAAAGCTTTACTTAATTCTTCATGCTTTACACACGTCAACGATGTTCCTTTTCCCATCCGATCAGTAAAAGGCTAAAGATTTTGAATGGTGGCTTGTTACAGCAGGCGTCACCAGCGCTAATGTGCCAGGAAACAATTAACAGTTGAATGTTCTAACAGTGGAGAAGAGTTTTGTTAGCATCTGACGCCTGAGCCCCACCCCCTTTACCAACACAACACACATCCCTAGGTACGCTGCACCAATGGGTAATTACCCCACATGGTTATAAAACTGTCTCTCGTTTCCACTGTGAGTATTTCTCACTTCAGCTTCCAGCCACTGGCTCGTCTTCTGCCTTTGTCTGCTAGATCAAACAGCCCTCTGCTAACAGATACCATCGCTGTGCGTAGGTACTTGCAGAACCTGATCTGATCAAGTTCTCTTAACCTTTTCTCCGAGCTCTGTTGCTAGATTGATTTTTTTTTTTTTATTGCTGCTTCCACCACATCCCCTTTTCCCCAGAATACTACTCAGTTTTCAATACGTATCCGGGTCCATGCCTGAGGAACGGTGGCTCTGCTCTGAGCATCTAGAAGAGAGTCCGTGAGCACCTCCCAGTTTGTGCTCTCATGTCTCTGCTGAAATGTTTGCTCCCCATCAGTTTTGCTTATAATTATTTTTGCCGGCTAAAATGTTAAGTAAATGGTCTGGGTGTCCAAGCACGGCTCTTATGGGGACCAAATAGGCCTCACCCACTGAGGAGGCTTGAGGCTCCTGGCCAGCAGGCTTGGGAGGAGTGGGGGGGAAGAGGAAGAAGCAGCAGCACTAGTTCCTCTCGCGGGAGCTGTCTCTCACCCTCCTGGGCCAGAGGGAGGGGAGCAGAGGCTTGGGGCTTCTGAGAGAGAGAAAAAATGAAGGGGGGATTCCCAAAGGTCCTAACTTCAAAAATGCAAGACCCCCTAAGCTCCTCAGAATAGCCGTTCGTTCCCAGCCCGCACCAACATCCCTGGGGCTAAGCTGCAGAATCCAAGGCCTCATTTCCTGTGCTGACCCCCAAGGAAAGGGAGGGTAAAAGTATCCGCAGGGGGAGGATATTTGAAATCTGTGCTTGGAAAGCTCAGTACCTTCCCTCCCACTCCTACCTCTTGGCATCCGTCACCTAGCCAGGCGGCCCCTTGCAATCCATTCACCCACCGTGACCTGAAAATGAGGCTGGCAGACTCTCTCTCACCTGGAGGTGTGGCCAGGCAGCTTCTAGTGTGGGTTCATCCTCCTCGGGGTCAAACTCTGCTCCGGTTGGATTGGATGAGGGGGGGAGGGTCCGGAAGAGGTTCACTGAAAACTGAAGTGAGAAGGCGGATGAGTGACCTTTCCACACCTTCCCTTTGGCCCACGGACACTGACATTCTCGCAGTGCCCAGAGCTGATGCTCTTTAGAACTGTTCCCAAACACCTCTCGCTCTGGAGGCCAAAGGGTTACAGCCGCCATGCTGACGTCAAACACCTCCAGTGCTGTCTGTGCTGCAGACAAACACCTTTGGCGGCTCTATACCCCTCCTATACCCCCACCCTCCACCCACACACCCCAGTCATTCTCTGGATGGCTAATAAGGGTCCAAAGATGTCATGGTCATGTTCCTCCTGAGCAAGTTATTCTTCCTCTCTCCAGCTGCCCCCATTTATATCTCTCACTACGTCCAATTTCTAGGCATGCAGACAGAAGCCTCTTCCAGTCCTGACTGCCCTGGCACCTGCTGGGGGGCGATCACAGAAAACCGGCCATAGTCCTGCTAGTCCTACCATGATGACAGCTTCAGGGTAGATGGCCTCGGTGACGACATCCCGGTTATGCGTGATGTACTCCACCATCTCATTGAGACCAGCTCGCTTCACCTCCTTGAACTTCAAGTCACTGAGTGGGTCGGAGATGAAGTCGAAGAGAACACAGCATTGTCGCAGCTTCTGTATGAAGAGCTCTTCTCGTTCATGAGCGGGAGCATCTGGCAGGGACAGCAAAGCACGTTTCACCTCTGTGCTAACAACTCCCAGGCAGAACATCTATCTACGGTACTTACACAGCCTCCACTACTGTAGTTCCAAGAGCCTCAGTATGTACTGTATTTATCCTCATGGGAGGCAGGGAAGTGCTGTTATCCCCATTATACAGGTGGGGAACTGAGGCAGGCAGACAGACGAAGGCTCGGTCTACACTGGAAAGTGTTACCAGTTATACAGATCTAGTTACACACACACACACACTTATTCTGGTATATGAGTGGCTTCCCAAGCAACGTAATTTAAACTGAAAAAAGGCTCTCTTAAATGGAATAAGAGTGTCCACATGCGGGCTCTCATCTACCACAGTCTGTGTAGCTTTCACCTCCTCTTAGGATATGCCTATACGGTTATCAAGGGGCATGACTGCAACTCATGTAGACACACCGAGCTAGCTTTAAATCTAGCTAGCTGCGGGACTGCCACGGGCTATCCCCATGACTAATTACCAGGGTTCTGGCAGGCTTGGCCAGCCTATGCTGAAGCACGTACTGCCACGACTTGGCTGCTCTGGTCCCCGAGCTAGCTAGATTAAAGCCAGCTCAGTATGTCCACTCAAGCCACAATCACCCCCTGGGATTGCAACATAGACACGGCCCGTGATCGTGCCATGTCACGGGGTGAACTGAACTCCCCTCTTCCCTGCGTCTGTGTTCTTCTCAGAACATATGACTAGTGGCTGCGAGCGAGGCAGCAAGCAGGAAATAGAAGGCAGGTCCCTGCTCCCCAATAAGCAGGGAGATCTGGAGAGTACAACAGCCCGCTGCAGGGTGAGGGGTGCGCAAGAGATAGTCACTGTGGTCTGGGTGGGATCTACACTGGGGTTCCCAGTTGAGAGGGAGCTGAGAAAGCGGGTGAGCCAGGCTGGGAAGCAGCTCTGGAGGAACAATCAAGTAGAATGTGGAGGCTGGAGTGAATGGCCCCTTTGCTGCACAGGGGCCCAGGTCTGGACCCCAGGGTAGAGGTAGAACCTAGACTCTCCTACTCCTCAGCTGCACCACCTTTGGAGGGGGAATGTAGCTAAGCCCCACAGTCAAGGGGAGGAGCTCTGTAAACCCCTAGTAGCAAGGGGAAGTGCTCTAAACTCCTGGGAGAAGCCTGAGGGCACACACTGATGCTAAAGAGAGGGCTGTGGCTGGACCTGCTGGAGACCCTATCCGTCTGGCAGAACACTCACGGGGTTCCTTCTGCTTCCTCTGAACGGGAGGACTCATACTGTGGTTGCAGGGCTCAGCTTCTGCCTATCACACCGACCAGTATTGTCTCATTGTTTGCTTGTACTTCCCATCTGTCTACACCCATTTGTCGTCTCTGGTCCTGGGGCAGGGACTGTCTTTTTGTTCTGTGTTTGTGCAGCGCCTAGCACAGGGAGGGGCCTAAGAGAATACAAACAACAAGCTACCCTATCACCAGAGGGGGACTGGGGCAGCATAAGGACCCTGTGACACAGCTGCAGCCAGACAGCAATGGGCAAGGAACCCTGGATCCTCCGTTGTAGCGCCGCACTGGAAGCTCTCAGCCCCCAACGGCTGAGGAAGTGGCAGCTCCTTTCACTATGGCACTGCAGGCATCAAGGCTAGCATGACTATTGCTGGGCTGTCTCCAAAGTGACCGCTGAAACTGCAGCTGTTCTGCCTCGAGAAGGTTTCCAGTGAGCCAGGCAGCCCTGAGACTTAGACATATGCACCCCCAAACCTGCCATGTCCTTACCTTTGAGGGCAGGGAGCTTTTGCAGTTCCCTGTTTTTGGTCAGGTTGAAGCGGGAGGAGCTGTGCCGTCGCTCCTTCTTTACAATCTGGGGTCCTCCGGAGTACTTGATCTTATTCAGCTGCGTTGGCGGGGGGGTGCTGTTACTGGGGCGCTTATTTGAAGTCGGTGGTGGCGGCTGCTGCTGCTGCTGCTGGACCTGACAGGGGAGATCAAGAAGAGAATAGGACAACCCAGAGCCCCAGATCTCAGCTCTAGCAACCTGATCCACAAGCATGTGGTGGGCTATAGTTTCACAGGTTGTTTACCAAGACGAGACACTGTCAGCCTCTTCTTGAACGGAAGAAAATCTAGCAGCTCGAATTATGGGGAAAAAACAGGGGGGCCTAGACAATAACTCAGAGCAGGGTCCAGCAATCATGCCATGTATGCCTGGCAACTACAGCAAGTTTGTGTCCATCTGCGTTGAATGTCCCTCTTGCTATCGGCCGCTGGGAGCATTCAGTCGGTAATTCTAATCTTGGCGTGCTGCTTTTTCCCTTAACATTTCCATGTCTAATTTTAAAGTGGAGCATGTCCTACTTTTCCAATTAATCTATTCTGAATTCATTTAGAAAATAAAGCGTTAAAGCTGCCCCATACTGAACTGGAGGCAGAGCTACAGTCGGTGATTAATTTCGGCAGTATTCACCATCTGGAGGATGCCTCTTTCGGACATTCCTTTGTACACTTCCAGCAGTAAAATCCAAGTTAGCAGTGTAAACTGCAGGGGGAGGAGGAGCCAGAAACCAAATCATGCTACCCCCTGCATTTTATCAAACTTGACTTGTCATTAATAACTAACTTTCTTCTGTCTCCTCTCCCTGCTTCCATACACTTCTGTAACTCATCCCCTCACCATCCAGCAGGGTGTGGGTTATTTCCGTTCTGAAGTGTCCACATTTTTTAGGTCACAAAACAAACGTCGATGAGTGCAATGGGTTTCCCACCCTGATGCACACTCTGGCCCAGATTTTCCAAGAGCCAGTGCCCAACCCCTACTATTGAAGCACCTAAGGGAAGGGACCAGTTTTTCCAAAGAGCTCAGAACCCAGGAGCTCTCAATGGGACTCTGGCTACTTCATTTAAGAGCTTTTCTTTTTGGACAATCTGTCCCACTGTGGTCCAGATTCTGCCCTCATTTACCCTCACCTGACCCTGGAATGTGTTTTCCCCATTTTCCTGTTCCTGAGCCCAATCCTGAAAACTCTTCCTCACCCGAGTATTGCCACTGACTGCAGGGAGGGGACTGGGTGGGTAAGGACTACTTGTGTCAGCATCAGGCCCTCTGTATGCCTCTGATTTCACTCCGACCCTAACCTCAGGTTCTTATGCTGATGCCCTAACTGCATAAAAGCAACCCGTCTGGCAGCCCCTACAGCTGTTTGTGGGGTGCTTTCCCTCATTGCCTTGCTCCCAACACTGGGCTCGCCACCCCACACCCTCCCAGACTGACCCCAGCCCAGGCGAGCCAGGAGGAGGGAGGGCACAGACAGGGATTGGACCCCTGCAGGATGACAGGGCTCCACTCGAGGGGGGCCAAACAATTCCACCCCAGGGAGAGGAGGGGGCGTCAGAGTGGGTGCTCTGCATAGGGAGCAGGGGCAGTTGGGGGTCAGGGATAGAGGGGGGCGGGGTGGGTGCTCTGCATGGGGAGCGGGGGGAGGTCAGGGTGTCAGGGCTAGAAGGGGGTGGGGTGGGTGCTCTGCATGGGGAGCGGGGGAGGTCAGGGTGTCAGGGCTAGAAGGGGCATGGTGAGGTCGGGGTGTCAGGGCTAGAAGGGGGCAGGGTGGGTGCTCTGCATGGGGAGCGGGGGGAGATCGGGGTGTCAGGGATAGAAGGGGGAAGGGTAGGTGCCCTGCATGGGGAGCGATGGGACCAGCCGGGTCCAGGCTGGGAAGAGGGGTCCTGGCCATTCGTGTCTCTCTCCCCAGATGCTGCTGCTCTCAAGTCTCAGCCCGTTCACGGCAGTTCCTACTTTCTCCCTGGCCCAATCCCAGGCACTGCAGTGGCCACTCCAGCTCCTCTGCGTCCCACTCCCACCTCCACCCACAACAGCCACTCAGCCCTGCCCAGCCTGAGTCACCGGCCTGGCTCTGGTAGCGCCCGCTCCGGGGGGAGAGGCACAGGGTGTGACGTGCGGTAAATGGAAGACGGTTGTGTGGCTGTGCCGCTGAGCACTTTACTGGGAACGCCTGTGAGAGGGTGGCCAAAACACCTCCCAGCCACCTGTGCCTTTGAATAAGAAACAAGTAAGGTAGCCCCTAAACATTGCAAAGCCAGACCAGGCCCCCCGTAATTCGAGCACTGAGCTTTCTCTGATGCCCCTGCTCCTGAGCACATCCTACAAACCCCTGCGTCCCTCCCGTCCAGTCTGTTGTACTTACAGCACCCGTGCAAAGTAAAACTCACTCGCTGGGTGTGTCCAGACATGCCACGGGATAGCAGTCTCTGCTGCAGAGCTCACAGCCTAGGTTTATGTCGCTTGTATCTTGTCAGAGAGGGGGAACGAGAACTTTCTGTGCCACCAGCAGCAACCACACAGCCATTGTCAGAGTCCTGTGTGCATGACAGCACAGGGAACTCCTGAGAACCATGAGATGGTAGCTGGGGAGACTGTGTGAAGGGACTTGGAGAAGGAGCCCCAAAGGTGGCACAGAGCACCCTGGATACCAAGGTGAATGCTCCAGAGACAGAAAGGGATGGATACTGGGTCAGTCTAAAACCCGCTTTGCTCTGCTCCTTTGTTGTGAGAGCGAAGTAACTGCCCCCCACCCCCATTCCAGCAGCCATTCCTCCATGCTGTGCGGTCATTGCCTACTCAGCCTCCCTTCCATCGCTCTGCCCGACCCTGCCTCATCTCAGACACCGCTCTCTTCCGCAGCCTCGCTCGTTGTGCCTTCTTCCACGGCCGGCCTTGCAGCTGAGAGTCTTCCTCTGTGCAAGCCAGCTGTACTCCCCTCTCCATCTTCCGCCCCCTACTCCTCTAGGGCCTGCTGGAAGCGCCTAGGGACATAACTGCAGGAACTGGGGGTGCTGCAGCACCCCCTGGCTAGCAGCGGTTTCCATCATATCCAGGGTTTACAGTTTGGTTCAATGGCTCTCGGCACCGTCACTATACACATTGTTCCAGCTCCCCGCCTAGGGAGGTCCTAGGTCATTGTATTTACCTAGCACTCCATCACATGCAATAGCACCAGAGGATGCGCCAGGATGAGGAGCTGCTATGCAAGCCTCAGCCCATCACTCCTCCACCCCACCAAACCTCCATCACACCACTTCTGCCTCTCCTGTGAGCCCTGTCCCCCGAGCCCCTAGTAAGCCACCCCCTCCCTGATGCCCAGAGGTGCTGCCCAACACGGAGACTCAAGGGCAGAGGGTGTGAGGCAGGCCAGGCTGGATGTGGGGCACCCCACCATTAACCTCTTTCCACACTGAAGTTAAAGTCTGCGTGCGTGGGAGCAAGGGATGGAAAATACAGGATTCCTGAAATCGACACAGAACAGGAAACCAGGCTTTGGAACTCCACCCTGGAGACTGGTCTGCCTGGGACAGCTACGCAATGAGCACAGGCCTGCTGTGACTTGCCACTGGACTCTCGTACATTGAGGGCTGCCTGGCGATGCCCGGAGCACAACTGTCCAAGCAGCTCTCACACAGCAGAGCATGCAGATGTCCATGCAGAGAAAGGCTCAGCTCAGAAACGGCATGGCAAGGCTTTTTTGGACTTGTTTCTTTGGTGGATTAATGTCAAAAGACCTTTCAAGAGTGAGTTTTAGAGGGGTGCACTTGGCACTGGGAGGGATAGCCTGGAAGAAAGAGCAAAGAGAAGAGCGAGGATACCCCATTTCCACAGCTCAGCCAGGAGAAGGGAGGATACAAAGGGGGCAGGTACCCAAGAAGTTTGCGGGGAGCAACGACGCAGGAGGAAATGAGAGCAGACGCAGGACTAGGTGGAGTTGTGCAGAATACGGACCACGAGTTTGCGTGGAAGGAGAAAGGAAACTGAGGGAGGTGGGGGATTGACATGACTAGAGCAGTGGGACGTCAGCAATGTAGGTGGAGAGCAGGCACAGTAACAGAAGTGGGAGATGACCAGAGCACGAAGGCTCTTATAACCAGGCTGGAAAGGATGGGTTTTAGGAGAGATTCCTGAGTGAGGGCTGGCAACCTAGATACAGGGAGAGGAGAGGTGGGTGACAGAGGAAGTGCTGAGTGCTGGAGAAGGGACAAGGGGAAAGAAGAAGAGCTAACAGCGGGACATCAAGGGAGACATTTTGGAGGCACTTGGATGCAAGGCTGAACAAGGAAAATCTGAAAGTCATCGGGTCAAAGGCGGTCACTGACCTCCCTTCCCCTATAGGGGATGAAGTCCTAGGAATAAGATGTAGAAGGAAGAGAGACATGGCGGAGAAGTAGCCAAAAGGAGACCCTGAAAGAACAATTGCAGAGACAGGAACCAGCTGCACCCTCCAGAAGCTTGGCGCAAAGGGGAGGAGGGAGGTGAGGTGCTGGAGGGGGAGTACAGCTGGCTTGCACAGAGGTAAACAGGTCAAAGGAAGGTTTGGAGACCAGGGCACAGTTGACTGCTCAAGAAAACAAATCCTACGAGAGAGGGAGGAATGGGTGTGGGAGGCGGTGGGAGTAACAGAAGGGAAGGGTGCAGGGGACATGCCAGAGGATTAAAGGCTAGAGAGCCCCTTGAAGATTGAGCCTGAGGGAGGGACGGATGCCAGGCGGGCACACAGCACAAGCTGGCTGGACTTCCTGACAATGCCAGTGTGTTGCAGGGCAGAGGCAAGCCAGCAGCGGAGAAGAGATGATCCACGCAAGGCGCAGGAGGTGATCAGCAAGGAAAGGCTGAGCCGTTTAGCAAGGAAGAGGGCACAGAACAGAGGTCTCGCCAAAGAGGCCTTCCCAGGCACTCAGTGGTGCAGGAGCGTCATAGCGGACACACGGGGTGAGTGGGCAGGGAAACAATTACTGAGCAGGATGCTCATTTGGGCCAGTGGCTGCTCACAAGACACCAGCACGTCCCCATCACTCCGACCTGCTAAATCACGTTTCAAGTCAGCAGAAATGTTACTTTCCTAACAGATTTCCACATAGGCCATTGCTGTAGCTGTCTCAGCGGCTGCTTGTTTGCCTGTGGGGGGGTGA